GTCGCAGTGCCATGGGGATTTGCGCGGCCTTGGTGGGAAGTGCGTTTACGTGGCGCCGTGCCACTGGGGAGTGCGAAACATGCTGGCGTAAACGCGGCGTGTCGCTGGTGAGCGGGGTGATTGGTGGTATCGTGTGATATGTTTGCTTCTAGTGTGTGGACAGACCGTGTGGCCAAAGTACGTTCGTGATGTCACAGTGCCATTGGGATTTGCGCGGTCTTGGTGGGAAGTGCGTTTGCGTGGTGCCGTGCCACTGGGGAGCGCGAAACATGCTGGCGTAAACGCGGCGTGTCGCTGGTGAGCGGGGTGATTGGCAGTCTCATGTGATACGTGTGCTTCTAGTGTGTGGACAGACCGTGTGGCCAAAGTACGTTCATGATGTGGCAGTGCCATGGGGATTTGCGCGGCCTTGGTGGGAGGTGCGTTTGCGTGGCGCCGTGCCACTGGGAGTGTCCCAAAAGAGTGCCCCGCAAGAGCTTCCTACAAGAGTGACCCACAAGAGTGTCCCACAAGAGTGTCCTACAAGATGGCGTGTCGCTGGTGAGAGGGATGACTGGTGGCATTGTGTGATATGTTTGCTTCTAGTATGTGGCGGACCTCTTCAGCGTTGTGCTGACACAGCGAGAAATGCACCAAGGTTGGCGCTCCTGAGCCACAACGTTGCGCTGCCGTTTCATCTGCACATTGACGTCTACACCCCCTCACCTCTGTACACACACAGACATAGATACACACATAGACACACACACACACAGACCCACACACTTACTCAACACACTAGACTTGACACTTCACACTTAACACCTAACACACAACTCACATTCTAACTTCACACGTGGTGAAAAATGCTTTCGGGCCACTCGTCGTCTAGTTCTTTTGTTTTGTTGTCCTTGACTTACAGATCTGAAAGAAACACGCTGTATGAGCCCGGGAGCGACCCCGGTGCACCGACACTGCACCGACCTCGAACCGAAAGAACTTTTCCACGTGTTGATGAGGTGAAGTGGCAGAGGTCTGGAGCACGGCAGCGAATTGGAAGTATGTCACCAGGCATCGCCCACAGGGTCTGCGGGGACGGAAGATCCATATCAGATGAACCAGGGTGCAGTCTATTTGCTTGGGAGGGTTGAAGCATCAAATGCGACTCCAATCATCAACCTAAAGAAAGAGCCGAACTTGGCAACCAAAATGGTCACACATCAGGAAAGGCAGCCCATATCCTCGCCGCTTCAGCACTACATCCGTGATGTGCATTTTTATAGCCCGATTGTCATGAGCTGTCCTGGCAGATTTTCAGGTGCCTTGCGGCTGCCTCGTTTGTTCATTTGTTCAGCTAGCCTAGTACTGAATGAAGCTGGCCACACGTGTGACCATCAGTGCTCCTACCTTGGGATTGGATTCAGTTCTGATTCTTCCATATCTCTGACGCCCAACCGATCTGTTTCTCGGACACTCAGAGAAGCGGGTGCCGGGGCGTTTTCAATCGACCGTGGGGCCACTGAGCCTCCTCTTCGGTCGGCCCATCAAGCATGTGACCTATGGACTCCAAAAGGGCTTTGTGTTGATGGTTATATACTGTAATTGTGAATTGAGCGCCGCTCAATAGAGCATACATGAGAGGCATGAGCTTTTGACCATAGGTCGCTGACGCCTCACGGTTCAAAATGGTATGAAGGGGCCTTTTGAGCCACGACATGTGGCACGCGCACGCGAAAACAAGTGTTTCATTCCGTGACGACACTTCGAGCGGTTGGTCACGCAAGGTGTGTTCACTTTCGTGTTTCCACATCTTCACATTGGTAGCGGAGCCTCCCAAAGAGGAGGCTCCCGCGGCGCGCCATGTCGGGCACTGGTTCTCCGACGCGGAGGGGAACCCCATCCTCCGCTGCAGCTGGTGCATCGGCGAATGGCGCCGGCGGTGGGCCTAGGGACCTCAAAGACAACTATGTGCCGCGCTTCGAGACTTCGACCACCACCTACAGGGAATGGCGGCGCAGAGTACTGTTGTACTCGAGGAAGCTAGAGCTTCAGGGACGCAAATCCGAGGTTGCTCTCAACGTCCTTGCTGCTCTCGAAGGACCCAGCTGGACGCAGTGCGAGGGCCTCGACCTCACAAGCTCCTTGAGTCCGAGAACGGCCCGGACATCCTGCTCAAGAGATTGGATAAGCAGTGGGCATTCGACGATAAGGTGGAAATGCCCAACAGCTTTGATGCCTTCTTCTTCAAGCTCAAAAGGCGCCAACACCAAACCCTTCTGGACTATACGACTGAGTTCCACCAGGTGTTGCGCCAGACTAAGCACAAGCTGGACCTCCCCGAGGAGGTAACAGGCTGGATGATGCTCAAAAGAGCTGGACTCACGAGAGAACAGGAGCAGATGGTCCAGACTCAAATCGGGTCAACCCTGACCCTTGGTGCAGTTGAGCAATCCTTGTTCCTGCTCTTCGGCCAGGACTATCGCCAGGTTCACATCCCTCACCATCTCCGCCGACAGCAGCAGCTCTCTCGCTGGAAGCGACCTCAGTCCGTGCACATGGCTTGGGACGAGGACGCCACTGACGACCTCTATGAGATTGAAGAGTCCTACTTCCAGGACGCGGAGGACGATCCCGACTACCAAAACTTTGAAGAATGGTTTGAGCCTGAGATCCCAGAGGGAACATACTATGAGGAAGCTGCTGAAGATCCTGAGCACTTCTTTGACACCGAGGAGTTCGACGAGATCTACTCCACCTACGTGGACGCCAAACAGCACTTCATCCAAGGGCTTCTCAAAAGGCCCAACTGGAAAGAATCGAGCCAAGGCAGCGTTGACATGCCTACGCTGCGGAAAGCAAGGGCACTTCGCAGCAAACTGTCCTTCAGCTGGCCAATCCTCTTCGCCGGCAAAGAAACGGCCGATCGACCTCGAGGACCCGATGATCAACATGGTCATGTCTGTTGAGCCTGACCCCAACTCCCTCGACGACGGCGCGATCACGGCTGAGGAGGACATCTTCTACGATGTGGAGGACGCCTATATGCTGAGGGCGAAGCTCTAGTCAGAGCTGGCGGCTGGCTGACTGCCGAGCCGGACACGTGCATCCAAGATCAGGGAGCGAGCTCCTTTCTGATCGGCGCGGAGTATGCACTGCGCTACTTCAAATGGCTCGAGATGATTGGCTACCCCATGGACAGCCTGATCTTCAAGCGCTGCGACAAGTCCTTCAGATTTGGCGGAGACTCCGGACACGCAAGATGGATGGTCGAACTTCCAGTTCGCATTGCGGACCATCCCGGTCGCATCCAAGCCTATGTGATCTATGGGGCCACTCCCATGCTCTTTGCACGACCTCTTCTAGAAGCACTTCAAGCAGAAGTCAACTTCGGTGCTGCGAAGAGTGGCAGTTCCTCGCGGCCGACAAGGTGCGATGCTCCTCCGCCTGGCGGCAAATGTGACTGATGCACAAGCCTTTGAATCGCCTGTCTTCGACTTCCGCTGCGAGGACGACCACTCAGAGGAGACCAACTTGAATAAGTTCCTGGACGATTTGAACGCCCATGAACGCTACTTTGAGATACTTTGAGATGACCACCGAGGTCAAGACCTTCTTCGCCTCCAAGCCCAACTCCATCCCTGAGGAGACCTTCATGGAAGCAGATGATCATGATGATCAAGCCCCGCTTCTGCCTGGAGAGACAGTCAAAACCATCGAGCAGCTTCAGAAGACGATGTCGTGGATTGAGGCTCAGCTCCAGGAGACCGAGAAGCATGTCCAGCGAGATCCTCCACGCTCGTGACAAAGGTCAGCATCGTCGGAGGAAGCTGATCTGGGAGGTCTATGCTGGCGAGGGCAAGATCACAAGCCTCCTGCAAGCTCATGGTGATGTGGAGGTGATGAGATTTGGCCTCCGGGACGGCTGGGACTTCAGCCGAGCCAACCACAGAAAGCAGTTGTTGCGGTTGTGCGATGACCTTGAGCCAGACGAGATCTATATGTCCCCAAAATGCACGCTCTGGTCACGTATGCAGCAGATCAACATCACCAACGAGGAGCAAGCGGCTGATCTTGCAGAACGCAGGGAGGTAGATGCCGAGACCCACCTCACCATGTGCAAAAAGCTTTACCTCGAACAAGTTCGCCGCGGCTCTCACGCTCACATCGAGCATCCACGCCTCAGCCTGGCCTGGGAGATGAGGCAGTTGAGAAATCTGCCCGGCCACAAGGCCATCTTCGATCAATGTGCCTACTGTGCCACCATCCCCAATGATGACGGCTATGAGATGCCCATCCTCAAGACCACTCGCATCCAGACCACCAAGTGGGCTATGTTCGAGATCATGTCCAAGCGGTGCAATGGACAGCGCGTCCATCAACGCCTTGAAGGACGCAACCGCTGCAATCGAGCTGAGAACTACCAGGAGGAAATGGCCTCTCACCTGGCTCGAGCACTACTTCTTGATGAAGAACTACATGAACAGGTCTATGCTGTGACCGAAGCCATTGCTCCCCTCACTGGTGCTCTCGCACAGCGTCTGCATCGAAATCTTGGACATCCTCGCAAAGATGTGCTGCTCAACACTTTGAAGAGCAGAAACTGCAGCCCCCGCGGTTCAAGATCTTGAGTGTCCCTTTTGTGAGGCACATGCAGTCAAAAAGGGAACTGCGCCTGGACACCTTGATCGACCTAATGAGTTCAACGCCCAACTTCAAGCTGATGTTCTCTGGCTTGATCTCGATGAAGTTGGAGCTGTTCGCGAGCCTGGCAAGCGGCAGAAAGCTCGGAAGATTGCCATCCTGCACCATCATGGATGAAAAAGGACCCTCACTGCAGAAGGCACTTGAACGCGCATGGATTCAACATCATGGACCACCACGACAGCTCTGTGTGGATGAGGGCACCGGCTGGGCATCAGATGCCACCATGCAATGGTGCGAGAACAATGACATCGAGATTCGCATCTCGCCAGGACAGGTGCACACGCGAACCTCCATCGTTGAACGACGACATCAAATTGTGCGCAAGGCTATCTCAATCTTCATGATGGAGAATGACCTCACCGGCCTCGATGGTGTGCGCACAGCACTATCCTGGGTTGTGCCTGCCTTGAATAGCAGCACCTTCGTCAACGGCTACACCCCTACTCAACTTGCTCTCGGCCGAGAACCCGCACTTCCTGGACGTCTTTCAGATGAGCGAACAAGCCCGCTTCAGCTTCAGCTGACTGAGCAAGAGAAGCTTCACAAGCGCCTCCAAATGAAGTTCGTCGCCCAGAGTGCATGCGGTAAAGCTGAGATTGATGTCAAATTGAGGAGGGCTCTGCTGCGACGCTTCACAGGCAAAGATGAGGAACTACTGCCTGGTGAGCGGTGCTACTACTGGCGGGACTTTCCGGACAAGGCTCACACCATCCGCTGGCGCGGACCGGCAGTTGTTGTTGTTGCAGTTGAGCGCAACCCCGACACTGGCACCACCTCCGTGTACTGGATTGCACATGGAACAGTCCTACTACGAGCTGGAGTTCAACATGTTCGCAAGATGGTCAGCGACAGTGGACAACTTGGTGCAGCTCAACGTGCTCAACAGGCCTTGGACGGCCTGAGGCAGAGAAGAGCGGTGAGAATCATCGACCTACGCAAAGCCAACAAGCGCTCCATCGATGAAGTCGATCCTGAACTGTCTGACTACACTCCTTCCATAGCTGGAGAACCACCTGCTCCGGTGACTATGTCTTCCCGACTACCTGATGGTGTACAACGAGCATTTGATCGCTCCACGCAAGAAGCCATCCAGTCACGGGCAGCTGAACGTCCATCGGTTCCACTGGTTCCAGATCCTCCCGAAGATCAACCGCCAGAACCACTGGAACCACAGCTGGAAGAGCGACGACCCTATGAACGACATCCTGAACTACCAGAACTAGATGATGATGAATTTGAAGAGCCAATGGGAGAACCGGCGCACATGGAAACACCACGTGTGGATGCCGAGCCTCGGACAAGTCTTCCAGATCCAGCTGATCTACCAGTTCCTGGCGACCACGATCTGGACTCTCCGAAGGCTGATCCTCCTTCAAGGCCCATGGCAGAGACCTCATCATCTTCAATGCCCGCACCAATGGCGGTTGATCCTCTTTATGCGCCACCACCAGCAGAGAGTTTCCAAGATCGTCGGCGACGATTTGATCAGGAAACCATATGGACTCGCAAGAAAGCCAGAACTGATGAGGGTGACGTCGACATCAACCTCCACGGCTTCGACCTGACCAAGTCGACACCACTCCCATCTGGCTGGACCTACGATGAGAAGAACAATGAGTTCATCCTGGGTGAAACACAAGATTGGTGGAGCTATGAGGACGGCTTCCTGGTGCGCAACCATGTTTGGGGAAGAAACACCACCTACAAGCCCGAAGAGTTTTTCATTGACACCTCCTTCCTACAAACAACCACCGGCCTGACATTGCAACAAGGATCAAGAACCATCTATGTCAACGCCAAGGAGCAGCAGCACTTCCACGAGCATTGGACCGGCAAGACCTTGTACCCACTCACTTCAGAGGGTGCAGAAAGGACCGGACTCCTCTACATCGGAGACCTCACGGACAAGCTCTCCCGCTGCAAGACTCTCCGTGGCCGTGGACATATCTGGCAGGCCGTTGGAGCTGGCAATCCCAAAAAGAAGCATGTCAAAGAAAGCGCTGATCTCAACGAGCGCAAGATGACCCTGGAGGACCGCCTCTCCTTCCTGGAAGGAAAGAAGGCAGAGCTCATGAGCATCTTCGAGAATGGTGTTTGGGAGACTGAGCTCGATCCACAAGCAGTGGACCACAACCGGGTCATGCGCGCCCGCTTCGTGCTGAAATGGGCAGCCGATGGAAAGGGCGGCCTCAAGGCCAAAGCGCGGCTGGTGCTTCAAGGATTCTCAGATCCCGACTTGCTTCAGGGACAACTTGACACCTCTTCACCGACTTTGTCAAGAAGTTCACGACAGGTGCTCATCGCGCTCTCAGAGGTGCTTTCCTGGGAACGCTGGACTGCCGACGTGGCAACCGCATTCCTCCAAGGAGATCACAGGAGCGAGTTTTGTGGGCGCGCATCCCAAAAGATGCATGTGAACTCATCGGGGTGCCACCTGGCGCACTCATGAGGTTGATCAAGCCCCTATACGGTCAAGCTGACGCTCCAAGACAGTGGTTTGCTGTCGCTCGACGTCGACGACTCCAACTTGGGTTCCAAGCGCACCCACTGGACCAAAGCAATGGTTGGAATCCACGTCGACGACCTCTTTGGTTGCGGCCTGGCTACATCATCCACCTACCACAAGCTGATCGAGCAGCTTAAGGCTTCTTTCAACTTCAAGCATTGGACGGTGGAGGGTGAGCGCCCATTAGAGTTCTGCGGATGTCAACTCACCCGTACAGCCACTGAGTCCGTGATGACGCAGGCCGACTACCTCAAGACCGTCAAGCCCATGACCTGCGTGGACAATGAGGCCGACAGAGAGTTGAGTTCCAAGGAACAGAGTTCCCTAACGCACTACTTGGTGCACTTCAATGGCCAGCAACCCAAACATCACCTCACCTATGCGCTTCAGTGTCGCTCTTGTGTGGAGAAGTCACTACTTCCACGGTCAATGTGGCCCAGCAGGCGAACAAGACCCTACGCTTTGCAAAGAGCAACAGTGACGCCAAGCTGTTCCGCTCCTTGCGTGACCTGGGTGGTTCGCTGGATGACCTATGTATGGTGGCTATGAGTGATGCTGCATGGGGGGTGAGACGCAACAATGAAAGTCAAGGCGGCTACCTGGTGCTGCTATGTCACAAGTCAGTGCTTGAGGACAACACCCTCGACCACGACTATGTCATCCTGGATTGGAGGAGCTTCAAACTTCCAAGGGTCAGTCGATCCTCCTTCAACGCTGAGAGCCAGGCATGCTCAGCTGCGATGGACGCCTTGGAGTACCTCCTCATCTTCTGGGAAGGATGGCTGAACTTTGACTTCCAGTTGCGCCAGGTCAATGAGCTGAAGCCTTCACTACCTTCGGCACTCGTGGTGGACGCAAAGGCCCTCCATGACAGCCTCAAGGCTGAAACCCCAAGTCTCCAAGGAGACAAAAGAACAAAGATCGAGGTCATGGTGACCAAGCAGAAAATGCTGTGCATGAGCACAAAGCTCCGATGGGTCAGCTCAGAGATCCAACTGGCTGACGGGGTTACCAAAACCTCGGCCCAGCAGCTGTTCGCAGACCGACTGCGAAGCCACAAGATCTCCCTCAAGTCCGACGTGACCTTCCAGGCTGCAAAGAAGAAGACCTTGGCCGAGAGACAGGCAAATGCTCGAAAGCATGCAATCAGCAGGACAGGTAACCACAACAGCCTGGCCTACATGATCCTGACCTCCCAGATGGCCATGGTTCAAGCCTACCAGCCTTTGTTCGAGATGGCCCTGGACTTTGTCTTCTCGCCTGAGATGACCCTCACCTTGTTCATCGTCCTGATGACCTATGTGGGTTGGAACCTGGGCAGGAGATGGACTACCACGACTTCAACGGCGACAAGGACTTCAACAGAGACATGGACCATGACAACATCGAGCTCGGCAAGTACAAGGACATGAGAATGAAATGGCAGCGCGCGGTGCAGACGCTGATGGATGTTACAAATCAACCCATTGGCCCATGTGGTCTGGCACACAAGGACTGGCAACAAGTACCATGTGAGTACTGCGCATTTTGCGCGCAGAAGGAACCGGAAAGATGGCGAGAGTTCACTGATGTGGACCGCCGACTTCCTCGGTGACAACCACCGGTGTGAATTGAGCGCCGCTCAATAGAGCATACATGAGAGGCATGAGCTTTTGACCATTGGTCGCTGACGCCTCACGGTTCAAGCCTGGCCTGAAGGGGCCTCTTGAGCCACGACATGTGGCACGCGCACGCGAAAGCAAGTGTTTCAATCCGTGACGACACTTCGAGCGGTTGGTCACGCAAGGTGTGTTCACTTTCGTGTTTCCACATCTTCACAGTAATCATTTAGGAAAAGATCTCATGAATCCTTTCACTATAGCTTTCCTACTGCCAGGATGTTCGTTGAGATTTGTTTGTTCTTTTCGTGGCCAGGATCTTCGAAGGAGGAGAATCATGTGGCTACCAAGTGCAGGCCACACGCGGTTCGCCGGCTCGGCATGGCGACGAATGACCGGCAGGGCCAATGTAGGTGGGGAAACGAGCAGAGAGTCAGGTTCCGAAAGGCAATGGGTTTGGAGATGTTTGCGTTTCGGATGTCTCCTGAACTGCCTGAAGTATAAGACACTGCATGTATTTCAGGGGTCCATCAGGAAAGGCATTTTCCACTAGGTTTCGAAAGGCCGAGGTAGACACGACGAGTGGTCGTCTAAAGCCGGAGGGACCAACAGCTGGGCCCTCCAGGAGCTGCGCCTCTCGCCGGGCGAGCGCGGCTGCGGCGCTTCGCACCTGCACCTGTGGCGGCGGTGTGCCGCTTCGCATGTGCCGTCGCTGATCCTGGAGGCGCCGATGTCCAGATCACAGGTGTGTGCCCGCAAGGCAGGCACATGGTCGTAGATGTGTGTGATTGCTGACATGTGTCTTATATGCCAAACATGCAGCGCGCTGTTATAAAGGAACCTTATGTTGACGTATCAACGCAGACATTGACACGTCAACATGCTGACATTTGTCATGTGCTGAGGTGGCTGTGCTGCGCCCGTCATGTCAACACGCTGGCATGGTGTCCACTTTGGCCGTGCTGGCTCAATGCTGACGTGCCGTGTGTTGCTGCCATGCGTGCTCACATTCTAATAGGAGGCGTTGTCACACCGTTCTGTTGACATGGTGTCATGTTGGTGTGTTGCTTGCGGACGTGCAGATACGCTGTTATCATCATGGTGCGATGGCATGGTGCGATGGCTGTCAGGTTGACACGAGTCACACGAGTCACACGGGGTCGTGCTGACGTGCTGTCGTGCCGGAGCAGTTTCCATGGTCGGGCTTGCACACGTTGGGCACGTGTGCTACATTTGGCCGCGTGGTGATCTTTGCATGGCACATTTACAATGCGTACATGCCTTTAAAGCAGAGTTTCTGGCAGAAGGGCCGCACTTTTTGGTGAACTTGCGGTCTTGCCAGTAGTTGATAGACGGATTCATTCTTGGCTGTTGCGGATTTTCAATCGCTAGGGTTCGCTCCGAGCGTGCTTTTTTTCATGTGTGAGGATGATGCGCAGCTGAAGCGGACCTTTGCAGGGGCTTTGAGCCGCTCAGATCTTCAGCGGCCCTGTGGGTTTTCGGGTGACCATGCAAGAGGATTCTCATGACTAAAGACTACACAGCCCACCCCGTGTGTGAGCTGGGTATCGGTATAGCCGGTGATGTTGTTGAGCAGGGCGGGTGCTGCTCCACGTCCTGTGTAGTCACGTCTCGTTTTTTGAATAGACTTTATGTATATAGCATGTTCTAGCCATGCAGCCCCTACGGCGAACCGTTGAAACCACAGTTTTTGCCTATGCCCCCTCCCAGGCCTTGGTTTTCAGAGCCAATCCCGTTTTTTCGTCTCGCCGCTCGTCCGCGCAGCGCGTGTCGCAGCGGACGGCGGAACGTCCGCGTGGAGACGCTTTCCGCGCTACGACGCGCTGGCGATCGTGCCAGGCCAGGCGCTGGCAGAGCTGCGATCGTGCCGGCCACAGGTGCTCTACTTGGGCTACACGCAGGCGGCACCCTGGCGGAGTGCCTTGGGTGCACGGGCTTTCAAGGGGGTTGGGTTTTTTGATCGCTTGGTATTTACTATACAGGTGAAACGAAACTGGAGGAAGGTTCTGCAGCCAACGGCTGCATCTTCTCGATGAACATTGTTGAGCAATGGGGTGACTTTAGAGTCACTAGAGGGTCAGTGAGAATCATTGACGACTTGGGAGTTTTGTTTGCGTGGTGCACCTCGGGATGATTTCGGGGTGTTGAGACAAGGGTGGCAACTCGCATGGGTGGCAGGAAAGGCTGTAGGTTTGTTGTTCTATTTTCCGACATTAGAAGATACCAAGTAAGGTTAACAATAGGCATCTCATCTCAATTCCATTCGATTCCACCAGCGAATTACCTTGAATTATAGGCCGCCCATGTGAGTTGACCCTGCACTTTGGAGGCCTTAAACTCGACCACTCTTTCGGGGCGAGTTGAGTTGACCATTCGTGGGCAACATCTTCGACCAGTGGCTTTTCTGCTGACCATAGTCCTTAAATCCCTTGGTGAGGCTGGAGGCTGCGCACTTTAAATTAAGAACTGCCAACCGCAGTTCTTACAACTCACCCCTGTGTCCCAAGAAGTCACCGAAGAAGCGCCCAAGTTCAGACTGGCGGGGTGGACCAGGTCTTGTGTATTGCAATGAAGGATCGGCTTTTGGTCATTGGTTGCAACACTTTTGGAGGGGACCTGAGGCAAATGCCTTCACTAAAACCTCACTGGAGCGCATCAGATGTCCAACGCACCTCGCACGGTGTTCCCTGCGCTGTGCCCAGGACGCATCGGCCCCTCCGTCCGTGAAGCGGAGTATTTGTGGACGACGGTGGCCTACGTTTTGTGGCCTTCGGGGGCTCGTCGTCTTTTGGAGGAACTCCCAGGTGTGGGGGATGGGGCTGGATCAGCTGCGGCGGGTATTGTAGCCTGAGTTGTAGCTCAGGTTGCAGGTGACAGCCCCTAAGTAGATGCCTGTCCATCGTTGGCTGCCTCCATTAGGACCAAGTGTACAGTCAGTGCAAGCTAGGCCCCTGGCGCTTGAGGTGCGCGCGTGTTTAGTGGTTGAAAGAGAAGGAGTCCGTAGGAACAGCTGCCCCAAAGCAGCTTCACCCTCGCTTGCACTGCACCCCCATCCCCACACCATCCGTGCGCAGTGGATCAACCCGTGGACAACTTCATGTCGCAGCTCATGGCGCGGAAGAAGCTCCGCGGCTTTGCGACGGTGCCGCCTTTGGCCGCTGGTGCTGGAGGGTTTGGGTGCTCCTTTGGGGGGGGGGCTTTTGGAGGGTTGGGTGGAGAAAAGAGCGGAAGTGGATCTGGAAGATGAGAGGGTTCATTTTGGATTTTTGGCTCCACTAGACCCAGTGATATGAAGTGTGAAGATGTACTTAGAACCTGTTTGACACTTCGCATGTAGTGCTACCTGCTCTAAAGTCTATGCGCTGTTTCTTCTTTTCTCCAAGAATCTAGATGGGTTCCAGGTTCACATGGAGGAGTTTGCCCATCAGTCGGATTTTTGCACAGTTGACCCGGGAAGGCGGAAGGCCAGCTGAGTCCGCCCGTCCGTCCGAGTTAACCCACCGATGCGGACCCATTGGAACCCAGGGCGGGTGACCGATCAGGACCTGCCGGGTCGAAGGATCACTGAGCTCTTCCGGGTCTGAGCTCTTCCGGGGACCTGACCGCAGCTCTTCGGATCGGCCCTTGTTGAGACTCAGTTCTTGGCATCCGCTCGTGTCCTTTTTTCTTTGCTTTTGGGTCCGGTTCGGTGCTCTTCGCTGGGGGGGGCACGCGCTTCGGATGGTGGGTCTGGTGCGCGGGTCGCGTGCGACGGACTGGTCTGGTCACTGGCCGTGGCTTCAGGTCAAGCAAAGTAAAGCGTGGAATGTGGACAACGACGTGGCACATTCCGACGACCAGGCACACAGATTCTTCGTCAAGGCATATTTGACGCTTAGCCTTGCGGAGGGTGGTTTTGTTACAGACAGAGTTGTCCGTCTCATGACAATGGAACCCCCTATTGGCCCTATTACAAATGAGCAGTTCACTGGGCCAACGGGCCCAGCTTGTCAAGGACAAAGTCTTTCCACTGTCCATGCTTGAGCAATGGCAATCCCATCCGTGAGCAAACCCATACCACGAAAGGTTGTACTGTGTACTGCACGCATGCATGCACACACACGCACACAAAATCACGCGCACACACACACACATATATATATTGTTTGCTATCACCGGCTCCGGACCCTAGGATTCAGATGCTTGTATGCAGATGGTTTGGCAGACAACTAGGTGCCGACTGCCAAGTAATTACATAATTTTTTCAAGAATAAACAAAGACAATTTGACACAAATCAATTACATAATAAGCAGAGAAGGAAAGTAAATACAAAAAAACACATAAAACAGGTGCTAACTATACAGTACTGGAATCTATCATGATTGAGTTTGCTAGGCGAGGGTAGAAACCAAAACTATCTGTTGGTGTTTGGTCCAACTCCTTTTTCTTGATTGATTCTGAATAATCTTCAAGAACAAACATGTTTGCACTTAATACACTTGAGCAAGCAGCAAGCCACTGAGACCTGTGAGAGTTTTGTTGGGAATATGGAGAATATATCAGTCGCACCAGCAGGGACAGAACTAAATAAAGAGGGGATAACTCTACACCAATCAGAATGCACACTAGAACTTGGGAATTAACGTCCTTTCAGGGGACTTTAAGCAACACACGGCATCAGGACGTTGACTGCTGAAAAAGCGCTTCTGCTTGGAAGCCGCAACTTTCTGCCTGGAGAGTCTTAGAAAGTTTATATAACTTATTCGTTGGTTCCACAAGTGAGGCATTTGAGATGGTCTTTATGAAGGATGAAGGACCATTTTGTCTTTTGTTGCGGGGAGAACAACCGCCTGTAAAGGATACATTGTGATTCAAAGAAGCAGGTTGAACAAAGGAGGCTATCGCCAATGGAAAACACTTGTATTGGAGTCTCATACCGGGTGAAGCTCTCGTGATAAGAAACCATAAAGGATGGCTGGCATGTTGGAAGAAAACTATGTGTGTTTTTTTGCTCGGAACACATTTTTTGATGATGAGATATGGAGAACTGGGGCTTTTGTAGCCCTTTGTTAAGCAAATATGAGGAATGAGCTTCTTAGAGGAATCGATGGAATCGATTGGCTAATAAAAACAGATCGTATGGCCAAGAGAAAGTCAAAAGACACATCTCAATGAAAAAGACTTGGAAAAGGAACACGGATAAGGGTACTCTAACCTCTTTTGACCAACAGCGCTCTTATAAAGGGTTCCTTTTCTTGAAGGGGGGTTTTGCATGAGAAAGGAAGGACACTTGTAACCAGTAGCGATGCTCGTAAACAGTTACAGTATCTCCCCAACCATTTGCATACAGACATTTGAAGCCTAGGTTTCACAGGCGGGATAGCTATATTTTTATCTATATCCCATTGTATATATCATAGAACGAGAGAGAGGGATTTACGTTGTGCGCACAGCTCCCAGCCTTTTTTGCCGCATCCCTGGCCTGCTCATTTGTTTCTGATCCCTTGAGTCATTCCACCCACCAGAGGTACAGGATCTGCAACATGGGCCATTTTGAACCCAGGACCACGTGAGAAATTACTTTCAGCCCTAAAAGCGGGAAGCTTGCAATTGTTCTAAATCACCGTTGGAATTCTTTTCGCCCAAGTCGCCATGCTTCTCTCCAGGCGTGGCTGCAGAATCAGACGCATCAGCGCGAAAACTCGCCTCCGCGACGATGGGAGTTGGTCGGCCTTGGATCAGCCGGGAGTCGGTTTCCATTCACTTGGTGTGTTTTTTCTACCATACCCTGTGGCACCCAAAGGGCAGGTCTTCTTGAACCAGCTGACTTTCTTTGATTTTGAGGAGGGCCTCTGTCATTTGTCCATCAACAGTGGGTACTTGTGTGCCCCTCAACAACCTGCAGACACCAATCATTGACTTGGGATAGGATGAACTTGTTGAAGGCGATAGATAGACAGACAGACAGACAGACAGACAGACAGATAGATAGATAGATAGAGAGTTTCCAGGCATTACTGTATGTATGCCGTGCGTGCGCCTGCCCCACCGAAAAAGCCTTCAGGGTTTGGGCGAGTTACCGCCGGAAATCCTTTCTGAGGAATTTCTGTGCCCTTGAATTTGGGAATGGAGGAAGCTACACTCTCCATGTCAACCGCTCTGGAATTTTGCTTGGTGCTTGGTCGATGTTCTGGTTGCTCACGCTCGGGATCCTGCAAGCGTTTGAAGCGTCGAAACCCTGAGCTTGGGGTTCCGCGTCAAGAGCAGAGATCACAGTAAGCTGATGCTCATACGTTCCCATGCTGACGATGCTATTGCTGTCAGGCACTCATAAGACTTTCATGTTACAGAGCGCCAAGTCAAACCAGTTCAGCCTGAATGCCAGTGGGGATCAGTGTTGTTGGAATGGTGGGGAGCGGTAGGAACGTGTACAGTGCAAGCAGCAAGCTCGCGAGCAAGCTTTACACATTTACATCGAGCAGCAGAAGAGACACATCTGTGCAAAAGCGTGTCCAGATATGTAAAGAGACAAGTTCATAGCCTGGCTGCTTCTTACTTGGCGAAGAGCAGGGTTTTTTGAGCCGTTGACCTCCGGACATCTCTTTTCAGCAGAAGCAGCCTCACCTGTCCATCAAAACATTCAAAACATTTGGTTCGCTTCCTGCGACCCTCGGGGAGACCCGGGCGAATGCATATGACCCGGCCGAAATGCATGACCTGCTGGGCCAGGCGCGCCATTGGGGCAGTCCAAAGGGGTTGACCGTGCCTAAGGCATATGGCCACCCAATGGAGAACCAAGCTGGCTGGTTCTCAGAAGGGAGCGACGGAGGGTTCAACAACTGGAAGTTTCCGCGCTGGAACCTCGATACTGTAGTTCTTTTTGTTCTTGAGGTCATGTATGGGGTGAAACACCTATGGTGGACTTGGGAATAGTGGTGTGCACCCTGAACATTCGCCTAGACGATGAAGTCGAGCCTTTCTGGTTTGATTCACGAGTTGTCCCATAAACATTACTTTGGGGCTTTGTTAGTTTGCGATTGTCCAGGTGTGGCCGGGCTGGCAGGCCTCCATCCTTGTATAGAGGTAGAATCGATTGAGCCAGAAACACACACACACATTCACACACATTCACGCCATTCACCAGAGCCAGAAACACATAGATAGATAGATAGATAGATAGATAGATATCAAAGAGGAGCAGGTTTCCTTGCGCAACCTTTTTCTGGGCTCACGCGGTTGTTCAAGACCAGGCCACCCTGCCAGTCTTCAGCCTGGACACGGAGCTCCATGTCACGGTGGGCCGGGAGCTGTGCGTTGGAAAGCTCGGGAGCTTCGCCACGTCGAGGTGTTCGTGTCGATTGTCAGGAAGTGGTGTGTCTTATTTGGTCACGAGGAAGGGACGAAGACCACGAGGGAACGAAGGGTCAAAGCTGAAAAGGTGGTCCCCTTCGCATTTCAGTCTTTAGAATGAGATTGGCAGCATCGGCATAGCACCAACGAGTAGCAAAGACAGAAGCAAGCCTGTGAATCTCAAAGCGACTCATGACAAGGAAAGTAGTCAGGGTTCTAGGGCATGGCAAGAGCGTCAAAGCTTCAAAGTACTCACATGGAAACGTGGCGTCACTACACTGATGCTCAAACTGTTGAGAAAGAATGCGAAATGGACGGGTTTGTTTGACCACATGAGCTCCTGAACACATCTTCCTGACTGTGACTAGAAAACAGTTCTTTGGTAACGCATTTTAACAACCAGACCGGATTTTAATGACATCTTAGCGACACCCCAAACCCCCCTTGCCCCCACCCCGAACCCCCCCTTGAGATAGACGTGTGTGCCCAACAAGGCACGGTTGCAACCATCTTGCCCACCAGCCCGAACCCCCCGTTGAGATGCGTGATGTTAAGACTGTTAAGAGATGGTGAACCCTCAAAAAAGAATAGGACAGTTCCGAATTCAACATTCTGCTGCGTTCTATGCAGAGACAACAACAACGCCGAGGACGCGTCTGTGCCGCGCAACAATTTACGGAAATTCAATTGTGCAAAACCACACGCAGACCAACAGAAGTTGACATGTCGAGCTACTGTCTTAACTAAACGCGCCGAGCTTTGCTAGAGCTGCCCCTTTCGATTGGCAAGGGGGAAGAGATGTCCCGTACGAGGAATAGATTTCGACTTCCACCCTTTGACATAATGAGGGTAGATGGGATAGATGAGTCAGGGTGACGCAGGACCTTGGAGACCCCTCGTATTCTGAAAGCTGTGTGCTGATCCCGATCGAACCTGAAACGCCCAAACCACCAACATGCCAAAGAGGATTCTGGAAGACAATGACTCTCCCGACATGGGGGCGGGTGCAAACAGCTTAGGAGAAATGCCTCACATCCGGCTTCACAACACAGTCATCTCAACCTCGGTGCTCGAAGCAATGCCAATGCTGGATTAGTGAACCCGAGCATGCTCAGCTGTGGGTTGGAGCAATCGGGAAACAAAAAGGCTTTTGCAAGGACAGACGGCGTTGGGTGGTTCATGATGGTTACTTCTCTATGTTTTTGAATGGTCCTGGTATTTGGCGGAGCGTGTTGATTCTCGGAGCTGATGTTCGATGGCGGGACCTACAGAACCTGAATCATGCCCTGCGCCCAATCCGGACTCCAGTGGTAGTGGTAGGACTTCACTTACGCGCTGATCGGTTGATCAAAATCAACCTTGTCCAAGACCACAGTCCTAAGCACCAAAGTCAAGGTAGGCGCTGGGCCCTAGGCAGATAGGAACTCAGGGCTAGCAGTTTTTATTGTCAACATTTCTCAAAAGAGCCATTGTTGCGATGGGGATGTGAGAAAAACTATGTAGGTCAACCGTCAATGACTTTCATGGTTTTCAGAGGCCAGAGTGAAAAGTTCGCAATGATTTTAGCTAGATCCAGCTTACATGTTCGGTACATGTTCGTACATCGGCGGCATTCAGAGCTCACGCTTTGCGTCTCTTCCGCAGGTCTGGAACCATGCAGCGGCCCAGGTGCGATCGATCGGGTCTTCGGGTCGCGACGGACACCTGCACCCGACTTCAGGGAGCCGGAGATACTTCCGTGACTTCCTTGTAGCAAGGAATCCTCCCCCGAAAGGGGATATAAAAGAAGGGGACCTTAGTCTGGGGATGTCTGGGGTGGACGGCATGTTGGAGGTCTCACTCAGTGACCTGTCGACCACCTTGACACCGCCGCATCTCCTGTCTTCTCCCACCTCATCTCTTCCGCACGTGGTGTCAGCACCCTATGAAAATGAACTGGCCCCTTCATGATGACCTCTTCTTTGCTTTCATGATCTGTGGTGGGCCCATCAATCTCATGTTATGGTCTTTCATTATACATTGTCGTCAGCCATCATTAATATATAGTTCCATAACACATCAAGTACAGGAAAAACGAATACTGTAGACCATATGGACTTCATATGGGCCCTAGAATTTTGTAAGGTGGGGTTCGTCCTTCTCATCCATCACCTTCCTCAGTGAGGCCACTGAAGTGGCGGCCTTCGAGGCGTTGCTGCGGGCTACGGGCTGCTGGTCACGCGGGCTCTTCCGCCGAGATCAATCGATAGGTGAAGAGTGATTATATAGGGCCAACCCAGCCAAGAAACGTCATTCAGGAACAGACTACGACGTACCTGTTGTGCCGAAGGCTCCTGTTTGGCTCTATCTGGGTCGATCACGACGTAAATCCTTTTTGGATGCCTTGGCTGTGCGGCATGGGTGAGGACGCCCCAAAGAACAAGTCTTCGACATTTTTGGGTTGGGAGAAGCTACACTGCGAGATCAGCATTGAAGCTGAAACTACCTGGCTATGCTTGGTGGGCGCTATATCTTAGGGGGAGAAGTGCCAAGAGATGGAACAAGTGATGGTCAGTGACCCAGTCATGCTCCGTCCAGCGAGCGGTTCATTTCGTGAATGTATTGTTGACACGATTGTGTTGTTTGAAAGCCAACCAGCTGTGAAGCTCATGCATTTTAGGGCTTTAAGAGTTTCCCACCCTTTTCTTGGACATGCGACCCATGCATGTTGCTGATCTATCCTCCTCAAAACCTTGCATGTTTAGTAATCCATCAGCTCAAGAATCTCAAAACATGTTCTACTAGGGCTTGGACGTGGCGTCCGGCGTCCTTCATGCTCCGCTCACTCAATGCCTGCCCGCTTGAGGCGCAAGGGCGCCTACTGTCAGAAGTCCTACCAGTGGAGGCAGTGCTTGTGTAGTTTCTTCGCGGAACGGGAACTGAACCCCCAAGAAGGACGAGAGGTGAAGATGGGTTACAGTATATAATATATACATGATGGTTGGGAATTTCGTCCTTTTGTCGTGTTTTGTATTGAAGGCTCTGCCTGAGGCTGACGACGGCCGGGGTCCTTGTACAGCAACGTTTCTGCACGTCTCAGTGCTCGGGGTAACGAATGCCAGGTCTTGGACCTCCCACCGGTCGATCTGGATCTTGGAGCCTGGAAGCTCCGATGTTGCAGACCCACCAACCTGTGGAAGTGATTCGTTGAGAAGAGGCAGATGTTGGGTTCTTCGGCCATACTTCCGAATGCGTGGCCAGTCCGAGCTGTTGCAGCGTCTCCGAGCTCCACAAGATAGGCCGAACCGGGCGCAGGGCGGGACTGGTGGTGGGTTGGGCAACTCAGCAGCGGATCTCCCCTTTTGGGCCCGTTGGATCAGGGGTCAAGTCAGTGGACATTTTTGGACTTGGCAACTGACTCACAACGAACATGCACTGGGCTGACAGCCTCGAACTCGGCCCAAACACGACTTCCACGGCTCCGCGATGGGCCGCGCGGGCGCTCTCCGCGGCAGCGACTTCCTGACCACCGTGGGCCACGCAACCGTCGACGCCGACGCCGGCGTGAGCGCGGCCGCGAGCGCGCAGCGGGCGTCGGACCTGAGAGACAGGCAGGGGTGGAGATGGGTGGAAGCAGGTGGCTCTCGGGGCTCTCGGGGCTTCGCAGATGGCCCGAGCCTGCATCTGGCTGGGCCTTCCGGTTTAGACTTCGATGAAGTCTATGAAGGCCCGGATGAAGTTCACCCGCATCACCATAGTCACCATGTGCACCTGGAAGAGTCCTTCGACATGGATGAGTTCGCTGTGGCAGTGCTCTCCTACGGCTCGACGATCCTCTTCGCCACGCTTGGCGCTGCGTTGGCGATGCGCCTCTTCCGCGAGGTGCTTCGGCCTGCCCGGTCGCGCGACGAACTCCCCGACGTGGTGCAGATGGACATCCCAGGCGTTCAACCGTTTCGCCCCTTTGCTGGGCAAGGCTACCACCTGCAGGCGGGGGCGGTGAGGGCAGGTGGGCGGGGGGCCATGACATGATCTTTGGGTGTGTGTGGAACGCAGGCGGCACCATTTCTTGACGGCTCGCAAGTTCCCGTCACGGAACCAGCTGCTCATTTGTGGGATCTCGGGAGCATGTGAACGGTAAATCCGGAGCACACATGGTCGTGTTTTCCCTGTCGATTTAGCACTTCCAGTCGATGATTCGATGACTGTCGATCCAATTGCTGGGATCGCGTCGCGCAGGCGGACCTCGGCAAGCCACCCGATCCGCCGAAACCGGCGGAGGACGAGATGACCGGCAGTGGAGTACTCGCCCTGGACTGAGAATCGGTGCGAAAAGGAGCGCACGACACGTGGAGGAATGGTGAGTGCACAGGGATTTGGGATATTTGGGGCTGGGGTTCACACGAACGTGGTTGGGTGTCTTAGGTTATGAACGTGTTGGCTCATGAAGGACATGCCGCGTTGGCGGGCCAAGCTCTCATTCCGAATAATCTAAAGGAGAAAGTGCCATGGAGCCTGAGATGTGGAGCTTTGAAGTCTTGGGTGACATTCGGGGGCGGGGTATCATGGCCTCTGTTTTAGACCCAAATCGACAAGGAATCGATACCCAAATCGTTCAAGGAGTTTTTGCTGTATCTGGTGGGCCGCTGGGCCACTACAATGGCTCTGTCCTGGGATCGTGTGTGAGATGGTGTGAGACAAATACAGAGAGAGGTCTACAGAGGCAATCTTTCTAACTTCTAACCTTTGCCCGGCGGTCGCACAAATCCTGACGTCATTCTGATTGGAAAAGTGAAAGGCAACCCGAGGCAACCTGGAGCTGAAAAGGAGCTAGTGCTGGGTGGGACAATTCCTAGTTTCGGGTCTTTTCGCTAATTAGATGTATACATGTGCTGAACTATATAACTGTTAGGAGTTGCTCGCAGCTCCTACGCACCTACATGAAGAACATGTTTTTTGGGCAAGTACGTTGTCCTTTACTATAATCAGAATACATATGTATATATATATATATTACTAATTACATATGGACATATAAACATGTTATATTTGTAGAGGTTCCACCCCGGCACCTCGGTTCAGAGCTCCACATTTTTTGCCGATTTCCGACTCCGTCGGGAGGTCCTATGTGTTGGAGTTCCCCAGCAAAGCTGGGCACAGGCGTGCCCGGTCGCTGGCCCCGCTTAGAACCCACTATCACACTACCAATGATCCATCGATTTGAGTTTCCTTTTTCCGCTTGGGTTTTGTGCTTTCAGCATTGGGAGTTGCCAGCTTCCAAAGAGGCGAGGATCATGTTTTCTTGAAGTCTTCACACCCCCACAAGCTCAATTCCAGACAGGTTGAAGGCAATTGTTTGCACGAACACTGCGGCGCTGCCGCTTGCTGAGTCCGCGACCCCCGTGAACCATACAACCTGGATATCAAGAATGGATTGGAGCTTGGATCACTGTGGTCGTAGGGGTTAATAGAACCATGGATGATGCAGGACAGATGATACAGGACACCACCGTTTTAGAGACATATGAAACTGTGGCATGCATGAGTGCAATAAGCAAGATCACGGCGATTCCATGGGCTGCCGCTCTTTCTTAGCACCCGCAACCCGCGTGTTGCTCCACAGAGCCAGGCTCCAGTTACACTTGCTCGTGTGCCGGTGGGGGTTCCCGCAGCCAACGCTTCGTGTTTTGGTCGGGGGAGTTGTGACGGGTGTGGAACACCTCACAGGTGGAGAAGTACGGTGGAGTCCAATGGAGTGAGCGAGCAAAGGGACGCGACGTGAACGGAGCGGGCATCGCGACTCGAACGGAGCAATCGGACGCTACTAGGGGCTCCTGGCCTTACTACTAGTAACAAGAAAGCTGGCTACTAACCCTTTTTTTGGGGGGGTCATTGTACGTGAACCACGTGCGGCAACATCGATTCCTTGTGGAATTCAGCAAGGGGCTCAGGTCGGGTGGCTGTTAGCATGTTTGTCTAGCTGAGGGTGCTCATATACCCGAAGTTCCTGGGGACGCCTGAGAATGTGTGGAGCCAATCCAACAGACGCCCTGGATGGACCAAAGTAGCTACATTCGTGTTCCCAAAACTCATCATGCACTTACACAAATTGTGCACCAATTGTGTGTTGGGCCTGTGTTGGGAACTCATTTCTACATGCGATTTTTCATTCTAGGTTCCAGACCAAGGGTTGAGTGGACCCGAGGCCGCCGATTGGGTCCTTCCAGCACACCATTGGTTCTTTTTGGTCCCAGTCAGATGGCCCTTAGTTGGCTTTGCGCTGGGTTGCCCGAAGTACGCTGCTATGACACCCCCCGCTTCCAACTCATCCGAACTGCACACTCCGGGCAGGGTTGTTGAGTCAATCGTAGTAGCGCGAACGAACAGACCGACCCTACCTCCACTGAAATAAATGTGATAGGTTTTCCTTTGTTTGCATGTTTCTGTCTCAATCTCTCTCTGTCTGTCTGTCTGCCTGGCTGGCTGTCTTTCCGTCCGTCCGTCCATCCGTCCGTCTGCCTGTCTCTCTGTGTATCTTTTTCGCCTCCTTTCGCTGCTCCTACCTTGCAAGTGGAATCTCTTCCATACAAGATCTCGGTTGCAAATCTTGACCAAGCTGAGGGACGACCATGAAGAGCTTTGCGGTTTTCTCGGCTTCACGGTGTCCCTTGGGCTACATCTTGCGCGGCTCGTTTTGGCCATTTCTCCTGGATTCAGGGGACTTCTTTCGGGTGGAAGGGCGTCAAGAGTGCCGTGTTTGGTTCAGGGAGTTGCCCCCACAAACACATGGGACTCATTGGTGATGGCCATTGACCGACTGAAGCTGGGGGTATTTTGACAGGCCGAACTGTGTGCTTCGACCTCGACCACGCCCCGCATAAAAGCGCAGGGTGCCACATTGACCAGTTGTGGGCAGAGGTCGGTTCCATACCGTGCAGGACGGTTGGACAGTACCGCTTGGAGGGGTGCGTTTGGGTCGCCTCAGAGGCGGACGCCTTCGGGTTGGACCAAGGTGGGAGGCAGGAGGCAAGGCCGAGAGTTCCGAGGAACTTAATGTTGACTCTTGATCAAGCAACTGAGGAGGTTTTACCATCCTGCGGTTTGTTCATCAAGAGTGTGCATTTATATAGACCCGCCGCACGGAAGAGTCAGCCGTGAGGCCGCCGGCAACTCGCAGCTCAAGCCCCGCGGCCGGGTCCACAGAAACCGTCAATGGCAGGGTTTACCAGTCATCTACATTCATCCACTGAACCAGGCAGTGGCAGTGGAGGCCCGCAATGATCCGTATGTTCCACAATTAATCATCGTAATTGGAACTTCTTATCGTTGAATTGGGCTCACGTCTACGTGGCCGGATTTTGCCGGACAGGCAAACCCAAATGTTGGGACAAGTTGGTGGGTCTTAGGGACCAGAACAGGTTAATAATGTTAATATAAGCTACTAGGAACAAGGTGCATCGCTTCTAGTAACAAGTGCCTTAC